GGGCCCCCCCGACCTGCGAGAGCCCCGGCACGGGGGGCAGCCAGGACAGCGGCCCCGCCGGCCTCGAGCGAGGTGAGGGACGAGGAGAATGGGGCTTTGTGCCGGGCGCAGGGTGGGGGGGGTGACGGGCCACGGGCGGGAGCTGACGTGCCACTGTGCCACTCTCCACAGGCGGCAGTGCCCTGCCCACGGCCCTGCTGGTGAGCGCCCTGCTGGGGCTGGCGCTGGCACTGGGGCTCTGCTGCGCCCGCCGCGCCGGCCTGCACAAGCACCTCTGCCAGCTCGGCAAGGGCACCTCCTGCCAGTACAGGTACCGGGGATGGGGGAACGTGTGGGGGGGAATGTGGGAGGGCACGGGGTTGTCGGCACACACGCCTCTGCATGCGTGTGCCGAGGCACGCGAGTGGCGCGTGGATGGCATGCTCACTTCTGCACACGTGTGCTGTGGCACGCAGATAGCACTGATGGCACGCTCACCTCTGCACGCGTGCGCTGTGGCGTGCGGGTGGCACACACACCTCTGCATGTATGTGCTGTGGCATGCAGGTGGCACACACACAGCTCTGCATGTCTGCGCTGTGGCGCACACGCCTCTCTGCGTGTGTGTTGTGGCACACGTGTCCCTGCACGCATGTGCCACGCAGGTGCCACGCTCGCCCCTGCACGCCATGGCAGGCACCAGAGCCCTGTGCATGCGGGCGTGCGTGCGTGTAGCGTGTCAGCGGGGCGTGTGCATGTGCGCACACACGTGTGCGTCCCCCAGGGCGGCCGACTGAGCGCTGTGCACGCGTGTCCCCCGCACGTGTGACAGCCCGTGCGTGTGTTTGCGTGTGCGTCCCCAGCACAGGTCACAGCCCCGTCGTGCATCGTCGCCCCACGTCCCCTCCCACCGCTGCCCCCCTGCCCCCCCCAGCCTTTGGGCTGAGCCCCCCACTCTTCTCCCCACAGTGCTGAGACCCGGGTGCGGTTCCTGGGTCCCGGAGCCGCCGACGGCTGGAGCGGGTAACGTCACCGCCGGCGCCCGGGCGTGGGGCTGTCCCCGAGCTGTCCTGCTTCGCAAGGCCTCCGGTGCTGCGCTCTTCCCCTGGCAGTGCCCGCGGGGGTGTGGGGCAGCCCCCCCGGGGGCACGGGGGGTGTCTCCTCTTCCAGCGCCGAGGGGTTCGTTTCTCTTGGGCTTCTGCTGGTGTTTCGGTGTGGCTCGGTCGCCGTGCGGGGTCCCCGCGAGTGCCCCGAGCGAGCGGGGTCTCACCCTGCCTCTTCCCTCGCAGGATCTCGCAGCCAGAGCCCCCATCGGGCAGCCAGGGCCCCCCAGCGCGCCCCCGGCCCCCGCAGTGGCGCCAGGCCACGGAGCTGCAGGTCATGCGTGGCAGCAAGGTGAGGATGAGGGAGCGGTGGAGGGCGGGGGCTTCGCTCTGCTCCTTGAGGTCCCCCATGCCCAGGCCGCCTGGTCCCCGCTCTGTGGCACCAGGAGCAGCCTGGCACGGCCACTTGGCACCGGCCGCTTGCCGGGACCGGTGCCCATCCCAAGGCAGGGCTGAGCCCTGGAGCTGCGGGCTGAGGGGGGGGTCTCTGTCTCTGCTTGGCAGCGGGAGGGGGGTCTCCGCATGCTGCATGGCTTGTCCCCGCTCTCCCTCTCTCCGCAGCCGGCTGCCCTCGGCTCGGCCCGGCCCGACCCGCCCTCCCGGCCCCTCCCGCCGGACCCTGTGCCCAAGGTAACACCCGGGCGGGTGGATGGGGGTCCCTCAGCCCCCCCACCGGCCCCCACTGCATGCCTGGCTGCGCTCCAGCTCTTGGGGACTTCTGTGACACGGCTGTCCCCACAAACCCCTCCTGCCCAGCAGGAGGCTGGTCCCTGTGCCCTCCCCCCACTCTCCCTGTCCCCCCCACCAGCCCCGCTCTCTCACTGTCCCCCTCTCTGCCCAGGCCCCCCTCGGACAGGCCGCCCCCCCCCACGCGCCCGCTGCCCGCGGACCCCGTGGTGCTGCCGAGCCCTCAGGTAACGGCGGCGGCGGCGCCTGCGTGTGGGGCAGGAGGCGAATTCCCACCCCCCTGAGCCCACTGGGGGGGTCAGACCTTGCTGGAGCTTTGACACCCCCTCTCTCCATCCCTCCCCACAGCCCCCAGGTCCAGCCAAGCCACCCCCACCGCAGCGGCCGCTGCCCCTGAACCCCCCGGGCCCTTCACTGGCCCGCAGCGAGACCCCCCCCGGGCACCCCTATGTCACAGTGATCCCTGCCAGGTGAGCACAGAGGAGGGGGGCAGGACAGGGCTGGGGGGCCTAGGGGGGCTGTAGGGTCTGGGGTGGTGAGGGGAGGCTGTGGGGTGCCAGGGTGGGGTCTGCAGCAGGGCCAGAGAGGGGGCAGAGTGGGCAGCCTGGAGAAATGGGGCTGTCAGAACCTGGGGAGGGGGAAAAAGAAGGGGTGTGGGGTGCCAGGGTGGGGTCAGCGGAGGCCAGAGAGGGGGTAGAGGGGGCAGCCATGAGAAATGGGGGGGTCAGAACCAGAGCAAGGGAGGGAAGAAGTGGTATAGGGGGCCACAGTGGGGTCAGCAAAGGTGCAGGGAGGTCAAAGGGGGTGCAGAGGGGGAAACCAGGAGAAATGGGGCATCAGAATAAGGGCAGTGTGGGGGGAAGAAGGGGTGTAAGGGCCAGGGTGGGGGTCTGCAGAGGCCAGAGTGAGGTGCAGGTGGGGGGAAAAGGGGATCCAGGAGAAATGGAAGGTCAGGACCAGCGGAGGGGGTCTGTGGGGTGGGGTCTGCAGGGGGCCAGTTGAGGGGCAGGGGGCAGGGGGTGGGACACAGGGGGATCCGGGAGAAATGGGGGGTGAGAAACGACGTGGGGGAGCAAGGAGGGGGTCTGTGGGGGGCGGGGAGAGCTGTGAGGACCCCCCCTCTCACCCCATCGCCCCCCCGCCTCTCTCCTCAGGCCCGCCCCGGCCCCGCCGGAGGCCTGAGCCACGGGCGGGGACAAGGCCGAGCCCCGCCGGACCCAGCCGGGCCCCCCCCGCCACGTCAATAAAGGGACTGTGAGCTGCCTGCGCGCTGCCTCCGCCGCACCGGGACCGACATCGGGACAGCGGGACACCGGGAGCGGCCCCGGGACACCGGAGGGGGGAGCGGCGCCGAACTACAACTCCCAGCAGCCCCCGCGCCGGAAAGGGCTCCCGGCGCTCAGCGCCCCCTGGCGGGCACCGCGCGCACCTGCAGCGGGGGGGGTGTCGGTGTCCCGAGGGGCCACGTGGGCGAGGGGACACGGGGGGACACCGTGCGTGTAAGAGATGTCCTGTGTGCACGGGCACGTGTGTTTGTGTGTGTAAGAGCTGCTCTGTGGGCACGGGCACACGCGTGGGTGGGGGCTGCCACACACGTGTGAACACGCGTGTGCCGGGGCTGTTCGGTCTGCGGGGGGCACGTGTGTGTGTAAGGGATGCTCCATAAGCACGGGCACACGTGGGTAGGGGCCGTGGAACTGCCACGGACATGGGCAGACACGTGTGCAAGAGCTGCCCTGTGGGTTTTGGCACACGTGTGCTCTGTGGGCACATGCACATGCGTGTACAAGAGCTGCCTTGTACATGCACATATGTGCACAGGGGCTGTGCTGTGTGCACGGACACACACATGGGCAGGGGCTGCCACACATGTGAGCACACGCATGTGCAAGGGCTGCTCTGTGAGCAGGGACACACTTAGGCACACACGTGTGTGTAAGAGCAGCTTGGTGGGCACAGACAGGTGCAGGAGCTGCCCTGTGTGCACAGACACACACATGGGCACACGTGTGTGCAAGAGCTGCCTGGCAGGCACTGACATGTGCGGGCAGGAGTTGCCCTGTGGGCCCATGCACGTGTGTGTGCAAGAGCTGCCACATACGTGGGCAAGAGCTATTGAGTCTGTGTGGACACGTGTGTGTAAGAGCTGCCCTGTGTGCATGGACACACACAAGTGTGCAAGATCTGCCAGGCACACGGGCACACTCGTGTGCCAGAGCTCCATTTGCACAGGGACACACATGGGCAGGAGCTGACACACGTATGGGGACACCTGTGCAAGAGCTGCCCTGAGGGCACAGACACACACGTGTGCAAGAGCTGCCTGGCGGGCAGGGACACACGTGGGCAGGAGCTGCCACACGCATGAGCACACACGTGTGCAAGAGCTGCTCGGTGGGCACAGACACACGTGGGCAGGAGCTGCCTGGTGGTCCTGGGCAGACGTGTGTGCAAGAGCTGCTCGGTGGGCACAGACCATCTTCTGTGGTCCCCGCAGTGCCCACCCCGTGCTGGTGCCAGTGGGTGCTGATGCCCAGCCAGGGTGGGAGGGTGGGCACGGGGAGCAACCTCTCCTGGGACCATCGATGTTCACGGCAGTGATTGGGCTGGAGCTGCCGGTCCCGATGCTGGTGCCGATGGATGCTGGAGGTACCGGGCAGTGCCAGGGATGCCAATCCCAGGTGCCCGGTAGATGTTCACGGTACCGAGGCGGTGCCGGCTTGGGGTGGGGACACCGGGAGGGCACCGGGAGGGTGGCGAGGAGCTGGATTGCAGCCGGGCTGCCGGTGCCGGTGCCGGTGTAGATGCATGTCGGCGGTACCAGTCGGTGTGGGAGGTCCGCCCGTCTCGGAGCCGGTGCCGGCCTCGGTGCCGGTGATGTCTGCGGTACCAAGGGGTTGCCAGGGATGCCGGTCCCGGTGCCGGTGCATGTCGGTGGTATGGGGGTTGCCGGATTGGGGCGTGGCTGCCGGTGCCGGTCCCAGTGCCGGTGCCGGTACCGGTGCCGTCGCCGCTGGATGCCGGTGGTACCGGCCGGGGGGGGTCTTGCCGGTCTCGGCGCCCGTGGGTGCCGGTGCCGCCCGCCAAGGGTTAATGGCACTCGGTGAAGTTGCCGGGCGGCGGCGCGGCGGGATTGGCCCGAAGTTGTCGGGGCGGGCCGGGCCGTGCCGAGCCCCGCCGGGGCCGCCCCGCCCGCCGCCCCCGCCGCCCCCGCCCGCCGCCGGCGGAGCCATGCGCCCCGCGCCGCTGCTCGGGCTCCTGCTCTGGGCGCCGCTGCTCTGGGCGCCGCCGGTGCGCGTCACCCGCCACGGCGTCCACTGGAACGGCAGCAACCCCAGGTACCGCCGGCCGCCCCCGCCGGCCCCGCCGCCTTTGTGCGCCCCGGGCCCCGTCGAGGCCCGGGCCCCTCCGAATCCCCGGGCCCCGCGCCGCCGCCACTGGGACAGGACGGGATGGGATGGGACGGGAGGGGCGGTGGGAGGGGGGCTCCGGGCTTCGGGGGGGGCGGGGCTGCCCCGCCACCGGGCCACCCAGCGCCCCTGGGAGAGTTACCGAGACGGGGAGCACCTCCCGGTGGGAGCGAGGCGGGGAGCATCTCCCGGTGGTGCTGTGCCGAGCCCCGGGCATCCCCGTGGTGCAGCACCGAGCCCCGGGGTGGTGCTGAGCAGGTGAGTGGCCCCGGTGGTACCGAGCCCCCGTGGTATCGAGCCCCTGGGCATCCCCACCGGCACCGGGCCCCCGGTGGTACCTCCCGGTGGTACCGAGCCACGGTGGTACCGAGCCACTGGGCAGCCCTGGGCGTTGCCGAGCCGGTGAGAACCCCTGGGTGGTGCTGAGCCCTGAGGGGCACCGAGCCACTGGGCATCCCCAATGGTAGCAAACCCTGGGTGGTACAGAGCCACCGGGCACCCTAGTGTGCCACCGAGGCAGTGAGCACCCCTGGGTGGTGCTGAGCCCCAGGCACTGCTGGTGGCACCGAGCCCTGGGTGGCATGGAGCAGGTGAGCCTACCCTGGTGATGCTGAGTTCTGGGAGTTCCACCTCAGTGGGCAGCCCTGGTGGCACCAAGTCCCCTGTGGCACCAACTCGGTGGCCACTCCTGGGGGCACCAAGCCCCCAGTGAGCATCCCAGTGGCACCAAGTCCTCGGTGGCACCGAGCTGGTGGGCACTCCTGGTGCTGCCAAGTCCCTGGTGGTACCCACCTGTGCCGAGCCTGAGTGCCCTTGGTGGCACTGAGCTTTGGGCATCCTCTGGTGGCATCAAGCTGGTGCGTGGCAGTGAGAGGGCTGTGGGTTCCTGTGGTGGATGTCCCCGCTGCTGGGGGCCACCCCAGCCCCTACCCTGCCAGGGGTACTGCCTGTGGGCTCTGCCATCACCGGTGGGCCGGGGTCCAGCCCTGGCCCTATCCCTGCTCCTGGCCTCCTCCATTTTAGGTATTTCCCAGCTTCAGGGAGCAGGGGGCAGGGTCAGGATGCTGGGCCAGGATCCTACTGGCTGTGCTGCCCCATGCAGGTCCTGTGCCCTGGGCCTGCAGGACTGGGCCAGGTGGGCACACAACGGGCAGGGCTGGGGGCACAGTTGCTGCCTTGCTCCCCCCGCTGCGGATGGGAGAGGTGGGACCTCACCACCTGTGGGGAGTGGGGCTCCGTGTGCCCCTCAGCAGGGTCAGGCAGCCCTCGGCCCTGCCCGGGCCTGCCCCGGCCAGCATTGCCCGTGGGATGCTCTGAGTCAGTGGGAGCCTGTGCCCCATCCTGTCCTCGAGTAGCCCCCGGCCCTGCTGGGGGGCTCAGAGGCCCGAATTCCCCCCCTCACCAGTGCTGCCATCCCAGTGATGAATGTTCTGCTCTCTGCCGGGACTCTGCGCCGTCCATGAACACCGGCTGCACCGGGGTGGATGAAGGGGGGTTGGGGTCTCCCTGACAGCCCCCCCAGCTCCATTACCTTCCCAGCACCAAGCGTGTGCAGTGCACGTGTGTGCACATGTGTGTGCACTCGTGTGTGCCCGCAGAGCTGTCTGCTCCACCCCGGCCTGGCCGCACACACTGTGAGCTCACTGCATCCTGCCCGTGCCTGAGCTGGGCCCCCTCCCCTGCCCTCCCTGCCGCCGGAGCCCCCCTCCCCGCCCCGTGCCCCCTGCCCCGGCCACCGCCCCCTGCCAGCACCGTGCCGGTGCGGGAGCGTCCCGCCGCACGGCCCCCCACCGGGGTGTCATGTCCGATCAGCGGCGAGGCGGGTGCCTGGGGCGAGGGGCTTTGTGCCCGGGCAGCGTGGCTCTCCCCCCGCCTCCGGCCGTGGTGGCCGAGCCCATTCAGCTCCAGCGGCCTGCGGCTAATCCGAGCTGATGCCTGGCTGCGTGGCGCGGGCGGTGTCCGGTCTCTGTTTTGGGGGAAAGCCCAGCTCCCTGCACCGCCGGGGCCGGGGGGGCAGCGGGACACCCCTCCCGGCGAACCCCCCGGCTCGTCTCGACCGGCAGGTTCCTGCGGGACGACTACTCCATCCAGGTGGCCATCAATGACTACCTGGACATCTACTGCCCGCACTACGAGGGGGCCGTGCCCGCCGGCCGGGCAGAGACCTTCACGCTCTTCATGGTGGACCGGGAGGGTTATCGCGGCTGCTACGAGACCCCCGGCGCCTTCAAGCGGTGGGAGTGCAACCGGCCCCGGGCGCCCTTCGGGCCCGTCCGCTTCTCCGAGAAGATCCAGCGCTTCACCCCCTTCTCGCTCGGCTTCGAGTTCCAGCCGGGGGAGACCTACTACTACATCTGTGAGTGTCCCCCACCCCGGGTGCCATGGGGAGGGCTGCACCGGGGGTCACGGCACGTTGGGGCTCTGGGTGCAGCCCCCCCCGGGGTCAGAGCGTGTCAGGGGGCTTGGGTGCAGCCCCACCAGGGTCTCCGTGGAACTGGGTTTGGGGCACAAGGGAGAGTTAGGGTACACCCAGAATCTGGATCCCCCCAACTGAGGTTGGGGGGAGTCTGGATAACTCTGGGGTTGAGGTGCAGGGAGGTCTGGATGCCCCAAAGATGGGGGCATAAGGGGTTGGGGTGCAGGGGGATATGGGGTGCCCTGGGACTTGGGGTTCTGGGGGATGTGGCATCAGGGAGGTTCTGTATCCCCTGGGCTGAGGGCTTCATGAGAGGTGGGGTGCAGGGGGATGTCTGGGTGTCCCGGGTGAGGGCATGAGGGGGTCAGGGTGCAGGGGGTTTCTGGATGCTCTCAGGGTGCAGGGGGTGTCTGGGTGGGGGCATGAGGAGGTTGGGTTGCAGGAGGCTTCTGGATGCCCTGGGTGGGTGGCACGAGAGGGTCAGGGCACCCCAGGTTCAGGATGTAGGGTGAGGTCTGGATGCCCTGGGGTGAAAGTGCACGAGGGGAGGTTGGATACTCTGAATTCCGGGTGCAGGGGGTGTCTGGATGCCCCCGGGGTGGGGCACAAGGGGATCAGGTTGTACATAGCGGGGTGTCAGGATGCCCCTGGCTTCAGGGTGCCCGAGGTGGGGGGGTCTGTATGCCCCGGGGTTGGGGTATAGAGTGGGATCTGGATGCCCCGGGGTGGGTTGTGCATAGGAAGGTGGGGTGCTGGAGGGGTCTGTATGCCCCGGGGTTGGGGTATAGAGTGGGATCTGGATGCCCCGGGGTGGGTTGTGCATAGGAAGGTGGGGTGCTGGAGGTGTCTGGATGCCCCGGGATGGGGGTACGATGCGGTCAGGGTGCACATAGTGGGGTCGAGGTGCCCCTGGGTTCGGGGTTTAGGGATGCCCAGGGTTGAGGGCACAAGGAGGTCGGGGTGCCCCCGGGGTTCGGGGTGCCTGGGGGAAGGGAGGGGGTCTAGATGCCCCTGGGTTCGGGGCGTGTGAGGAAGGGGTCTTTATGCTGCGGGTTTGGGGTAGCCGGGGTGGGGGGTTCTGGATACCCGCGGGTTCGGGGTGCAGGGTGGGGTCTGGATGCTGCAGGGTGGGGGCGCCCGGTGGGCGCCGTTCCCTCAATCCGCCGGGAGGGGGCGCCCCAGGCCCACGCTGACCCGCCGTCGGGGGGTCCCGTCGGGCCGGGGAGGCCGTGCCGAGGGTCCCCGCTGATCCCCCCACCCTGCCCAGCCGTCCCCAGCCCCGAGAGTGCCGGGCGCTGCCTGAAGCTGCGCGTCACCGTCTGCTGCCGAGGCACCAGTGAGTCGGGCTGGGGGGGAGGGACTGTGCCCCAAAACCCGGGAGCTCCCTCGCCCCCGGGGCAGCCCGGTCCCCGCGGGGGGGGGTACCGAGGCCTCGGGGGCGATGCCCCGGAGCCCAGGGGAGCCGCTCCCTGACACCGGTGGGGTTCGTTTCAGCGCCGGAGCCGGTGACAGAGGTGCCCAATTCGCAGCCCCGTGGGCGTGGGGGACCCGAGGGTGAGTACAGGGGGGTCAGTGGGTGCTGGGGACCCGGGGAGTGGCTCACCCTGACCACTGCTCCTGCTCTGGCAGACGCTGTGCCTGCGCGGGGCACGGCGGTCCCACCACAGCCCCACAGCCCCTGCCTGGCACTCGTGCTCCTGGCCCTGCTCCGGATCTGACCCCGGCACTGCCCGTGGTGGGGGGACGGGCTCCTCTGCCCCGGCGCCGCTTCCAGACTCTTCCTCACCGCCAACCCCCTCGAGCCCGTGGGGCAGCCCCAGGCCACGACCCACCCGCTGGACCTCCGAGAAGCCAAGCCAGGGCCGGGAGCTCCGGGCTGGAAGGTGAGGGGGGAGCAGGGAGGCTCTGGGGTGGTGGGTGGGCACTCACTTGCTGCACTGCAGCGTCCCTTGATGGGGATCTCTCCCTCCCAGGGCCGTCGCTTGCCACCGGCATCGCCGCTCGTTGGGATTGCCAGGGGTCAGCACCACCGGACACCGGCACCGCCCCCATGGCATCGCCCCGGCGCTGGGCTCCCCTCAGCGAATGCCTGCTCTGCCCCACGGCCGTCGCCTCATCTCGTGCCTTCCCCCATGGACCCCCTGCCCCAGGGGCCCAGGGACCCCCCCCAGGCCCTGGAGCGGGGCAGCAGCTCCGATGGCGGCGTCCGCCACTGCCGTGTCCTCCTCCTCCTCCGGTGAGGACACACCGATCTGTCTTCTGGGAAGACGCCTTCCTCCGTGCCCTCAGTTTGGTTTTAACCCCTGGTAGTGACTGAGCAATACAGTGTTTGCAAGATCGCTGTGCTCTGGGTGTGCGGTCCCCCCACCGTTCCCCCGCCCTGCAGAGGTGCCAGGGTGGTCGCTCCGGTGGGGGGGTCTCCGCCCCTCTCTCCCTCCAAGGCCTTTAAGGCCCAGGGTTTAATTGCAGTGGTTTGATATTGAGTCGTCAGCTCCTGACACCAGAGAGCTTTAATTACAGGCGAGCTGCCGGTAATTAGCACCTGGCGGTGGGATGAGCACCAGGACAGAGGGTCAGGGGGCAGCAGGGTTGGGGGTCACTCACCCAAAACCCCCACCTGGGCACCCTGGCCCCACTTGCTGCCCTTGCACGGGGTTGGGGTGCCCACGGGGCAGTCATTCTCCATCCATCTGCCTGTCTGCTACACACCCTGTGAGATGCACTCCCAAAATGGGGGGCTTTGAGGGGGTTTTCCCCTTCCCCAGTGGGCACCCAGGCCACTGCGGGGGCCGATCCCACAGCACAACCACGTCGCTGCCAGGGTCATGGCTCCAGTGCAGCCACACCCCGAGGCTCACCCACCAACAGGAGGGTCCTTTGAGGCTCCTGCTCCCCCATCCCATGCATGCAGTCCCCCACTGCCCTCCCAGGGGGCTCAGATGTGGCCCAGCTGCCCCCGGGGCTGCCCACAGCAGGGTCCCCCAGCCCCTCGCCGCGCAGGCGTTGCCGGCCGCCTGCCGCAGTGGTGCCGGGCACGTCAGACAGGTTTTATGGCTTCTGGGAGAAAGAAGCTGCTTGGCAAGAGAGGCTGAGCGAAAGCATCGACCGCGCCGCTCCCCTCCCCCCTCCCACCGCTGCTGCCTGCCCTTCCCCCGCCACACCCTGTGCCCCATCCCAGCCTGTACCCCAACCTGCACCCCAGCCTGTACCCCAACCTGCACCCCATCCCATCCAGCACCCCATCCTGCACCCAATCCTGCACCCAATCCCAGCCTGTACCCCAACCTGCACCCCAGCCTGTCCCACCTAACCTCCAGCACCCCATCCCCCAACCTGCACCCCATCCCAGCCTGTACCCCAACCTGCACCCCATCCCATCCAGCACCCCATCCTGCACCCAGTCTGCACCCATCCCAGCCTGTACCCCATCCTGCACCCAGTCCTGCACCCCATCCCAGCCTGCACCCCAACCTGCACCCCATCCCAGCCTGTACCCCAACCTGCACCCCATCCCATACCCCATCCTGCACCCAATCCTGCACCCAATCCCAGCCTGTACCCCAACCTGCACCCCATCCCAGCCTGTACCCCAGCCTGAATCCCATCCTGCATCCCAACCTGCACCCCATCCCAGCCTGTACTCCAGCCTGCACCCCATCCCATACCCGATCCTGCACCCCAAAATGTACCTCATCCTGCACCCCAATCCACACCCCATCCTGCACCCCAACCCCTCAGGACAGGGGCCACCCCATCCCCGTGCCCACAGAGGCTACCTAGTGCGGGGGGAACATCCCCTGGGAGGCCCCACCCCAAGTGGTGGTGATGGGGGGGAGATGAAAGCATCTGGGGGACATCTGACCCAAGAGACCCCCATGAGGGATGCTCAAGGGCCCACCTGGGGGAAATAATGATCTATGGGACCCCCATGCAGGGATTCTAGGGGGCTGTGCCCTGTGGGACCCCTGTGCAGGGGTTCTTGGGGGCAACCATGCCTTGTGGGATCCCCATGCGAGGATTCCCAGGGTCTGTGCCCTGTGGGATCCTCATGTGGAAGACTCTGGGTGGGGGAATCCCCCCCAAAGGACCCCCATATGAAGATGCTGGGGGGGCAACTGTGCCCTGCAGGACCCTCATGCAGCGAATCTGGAGGGTTGTGCCCTGTGGGACCCCCATGCAGCCGTTCTAGGCCCCCGTGTTCCAGGGGACAGCCATACCATATGGGACTCCCATGCAGGTATTCCAGAGGGGTCTGCCCCTTCCCCAGCCCCCCAGGGATTCCCAGGCCAGGCCGAGGGGTCCCTCTGGCGCCCCCGGGGGTGGGCGCTGGGTCCGGGCTCAGCGGGGTCCTGTCCTTGAGCCGGCGTTGTTTGGTATGCGGGAGCCACCGCCGGCTTCAAATCCCATCGACTTCCAATGAGCAATGCCATCAATAACGGCTAATTGATGGCGCGGCCGCTCCAAATCAGATTCCCCGTCCCCTGAATCCAATTGATGGCTCCGCACCCCGCAGCCGCCGCGGCAGAAATTGAATCTATTCAAGGAATGGGCTCCATTAGCCCGTCCCTTCTGTCTCGCCATCCCCCCCGCCTCAGGGCCCCCCCCCCAACCCCCCGTGCCACCCACGCCAGCCTGGGGTGCCATGGGGAGGAGCGGCGGGGGGTATGAGGATGCTGGGTGCCCCCGTGGGGCAGCCCCAGGTGGGTGGGAGTGAAAGGCTCTGAAATTTGGAAGGAAAAAAATTTATCGCCTGGAATAGCAAGTGATGGGAAATGTTAATAGGCAGCGCTGAGATGGAGAGGGGGATAAAGAGCCGTGCCGTGCCGGGGGCTGGGAGCCACGGCGGGCGGCGAGGTAGGGGCACGGCACGGCCATACCCACCCCATGCCTCGGCTCGCCAGGAGGACAGGGACCGTGGGTGCATCGTGGCGCCGGGAAGAGCCCGGGCACGGTCTCCCAGCCCCGTGGTGTTCCCAGCAGCTTCCACTCCTGGCTCTGGATCCCTTTATCTGGCTACGCTGACACAGTCCCCCCACCCAGCCACGCCGAGACAGGAGCCCCAGCGTGGCCCCAGCACCCCTCACCACCCCGGGGTCAGGAGGATCGGGTCAGGCACGACAGCCGTCCTGGGGCAGCCCTAGGACACACGGAGGGGGGGTACGGGGCTTGGTGCCCCTTCCCCAGAAGGCTGGAAGGGAGAAGCACGGCCCCCCAGGACAGTGGGGCCCATCCCTGCCTGTCCGCCATGGGCGAAGGGCAACGGCTGCAGCGCCCACCCAAAGAGCTGCCGAGAGCATCCCGGAGATGGGAAATGGCTCCGTGTCACCATGGAAACGGGGCCACCGGCTCGCCATGCCGAGGGGACACGTGTGCTGGGGGGACACGCGTGCCGAGCCCTGAGGAGGGGGGCACTGGCTGCGCAGGGCATGGGGCACGATGCGCTGGACACCGGGCACTGGCCACGGGCTCCTCCGGACCCTGTGGCCACGCCAGGGAGCCCATCACCCACCTCGGGCCAGCCCCCTCGCCACCCGTTGGTCGCAAGCACTCAGAGGGATGCCACCCCTCCGCGGTGCCACCCTGGCGCGACGCCAACCCAGCGTGATGCCACCCCAGCTGGGCAGCTCCGCGGCACCGCAGCGGTGCTCGGTGCAGGGCACGGCGGGCAGGGGCGGCTCTTCCCCCGAGCAGCCGCCTGATGATGCGCATCGTCAAGGTTATAATTTAGCAAAACACTCAGCGGGGGCTTGGAGGGAGCCGGCCCGCACCGGCTAATTAACCGGAGCTGCACGCACCAAGCCTGCTCCTGCCATAGCAATGAGGGTGCGGGCACCGGGGCTGGCGCCAGCGCAGGGGTTGTCACATCCCACCCGCATCCCGTGGGATGGGGTGAGCGGCTGTGGCTCCGCTGGCCGGTCCTGGCTGCTGGGTGGGAACAGTGGGCACCGACATGGCTGCTCTGGGGGCCAGGGTGGCGGTTGGTGTGGCAGGGAGGGTAACCAAGGTGTGGGGATGTGGGCACGGGCAACACTGCCTGCACCACCGCCGTTCTGGGCTGGGGTGTCTGTCTGTCCCTGACTGTGTCTGTCTGTCCCTGACTGTGTCTGTCTGCCCGTGCCCTTGTGCGTGCTGGAGGGCCCCCCTCCTCCAGCCCGATGTAATCCTGATGGACAATAATCCTGCTGTGCTGGAAAGAGGGATGGGCAGAACCTGCCTTTGCTGCCAGCACTGCCTGGACCTGCTGCATACTGAGGGCCTGCAGGGTCCCCATGCTGGGACCCTCTCCGGATCCCCAAGGAGGACAACTGGGACATCAGCGGGTGGGTGCAAATCTCCTGTCTGTCCCCACGCTCTGTCCCCATCCCCAGGGCATCCAGACAGTGAGGACAGGGGCTGGAGTGGGCTCCCAAGGGTGCCCAAGTGGGTGCTGTGGGGTCAGCCACAGTGCTGAGTGCCAGGGTGTCACTGTGGCACCCAGTATGAGTGGCTCACACCTCCCTCGGTGCCGTCCAACCCCTCTGGGCACCTGTCCGCTTGGAGGATGCTGGGGAGATGGAGAGGCTGCAGCCCTGGCACGTCTCAGGCCCCGCTCCCCACGTCCATCGATCTGCCCTGTGCTCCTTTGATCCTTAGGCCGCTAACAAGCTTCCCTGGCAAAGTTACCTCGTTAGCTGTGCCAGATCCCGGTGCTGCCTGGCCAGCGTCTGGCTCTGCCAGGCACAGGGCTGGCGTGCCCTGCTCTGCCACGGGCAGCCCCCTGGATCCCCACGGTCCAACCTGGGCACAGGGACAGGATGGGCAGGTCCCAGCAGCTGGCAGGAGGATGGCGTGGCCGGCCCGTGGCCAGAGGCAAACGCAGCACAGGCGGATCAATGCACTGAATTATTGAGCAAAGGAGCACAAAGTGGCTGCGACAGCAACGCCCCGCACGGGGGGCATGGGGGCCGCGTTCACACCCAGGCATGGCACCCCCCACCTACCCTAGGTGGAGCGACTGGGCACCCACTGCCAGGCTGCAGCGATGCTGCCCACCCACCCAGGGTCCTCTGCCACCCCCTCAGGGCACCTCACTCCCCCCAGCACCTCTTGGTGCTGTCCTGGCTATCCTTGATGGTGCCACCAGCGCTGCCTGCTCTGTCCCCTGCCCAGCACGTGGCTCCCAGCAGCACTGGGCTGGGGCAGTTGCAGCTGCTGGAGGGACACCCCATTTTCACGGTAGTCCCTGCGCCCCTGGCCCCTCTGAGGAGCCTT